AAAAATGTACCAACTCAAAATTTAGTATGTTAACAACGAAGTGCAATGCCAAACTGTCGCAGCGCTTCACTAACATAACGGTGATTCTCTATTTGACAAATGTAACTCTTTTTAGCAGCAATATCTTCATAAAAGATATGGATGATGTCATAACTTCCAACGTTTCCACACGATCACTCATTATAGACATGGATTTGCCATTCGACATTAATCGAAGATTCGTATATGAATCGGTCATAATTGTTCAATTTCTTCACTTGCTGGTATGTGCTAACGGAATGGGTTTAATAAATGCTTTACTTATAAATTTGGTGAGTCCTGTTACCTGTTACGCAAAAAGATATTATTATTATTATTATGATATTATTATTATTATTATTATCGATTATTTATAAATATTATTTCTTTAATATTTTATTAACCATAATATTAATTGATTAACGGAATATACATGTGCAAATTTCTTATTTTATCAAAAATAGTTTATTAGCAATTGCGCTTTCCAAATTTTGAAAGATTCTGTGAGCATAAATTTAATGTCATAAGCCATATAATATTCTTTTTTGCGACCGTTATTAGTACAGCTGTTGAAAGAAACTTATATTTCAGATATTACATATAAGCGGTCAAATCGATATTCTTCGTAAAAGTGTGTTGGAACTTTTTCCGAAAGAAAATAAGTGCAGTACGAATCGTTCTATGGTAAAAAGAGTAATCAAAAAACACCAGACTATTATCACTTTTTCAGAACATATTGAAGATCTGTACTCATATATGTCAATGGTGCTTTTCATATCGGATACTTTTCTTATCTGCTGCTTGGGTTTTACAATGGTTACGGTAAGCGATTTTGATTAATTCTACGGTTAAGAGGAACACTATATAAACCGCGCTGTTAGTTCTGTAGAATAAAAGTACTAATTCGTGACTTTAATTATTATTTATCGTTTTATTACATTTCCCTTGCTCTTTCTTAAAATTCTAGTCGATTGGGCGACCTAATGCTTCAGAAAGCATAATCAGAAATTTTTTGTTTTACCTCGCTGTGAATATAGAGGTATTTATATTCTGTTTTGCTGGAGAATATTTGAGCGCTAAGGTCAGATACTGAGACAAATATTATATATGATAAATATTACAAAATACGTAATTGTTTCTAAAAGATACAAAATCTATTATTTAATAGAGCAAGAGCATTGGAGATGCTGCATACGAATCTCTTTGGTACGAGTCAGATTCCAGAAACGGTCGAAATGTATTGCTCTTAATAATGAGGTCACAAAATCAATTAACCATTACAATTGGAAATATAGCGAATTTGTCTCTAGAACAATTTAGCGGTGTAAGTCTATTTCAAATTTTCAAATTTGTTTTGTACGCGTAAAATATTTTTAATATAAAAAATGTATAATAATAATATATTTTTTATTTTATATTTATATTTATTTGTTTTAAATAGTAAATAATATTTTTTGCAATATTATTCACGTTATGTATATTATTAAAACAAATCAATCGACAAACAAATAACTTTCTACATTAAATTTAAAACATTCTACATTATTCTTATAATAATCCAGTAATACTATTGCAGATTCTAAAAGCTTCGGCTTCCTATATATCGGTACTACTTGCAATGTAATGAAGCAAAACTACATTCTATTTACATCGAATTTTTAATGAGCACTAGCATTAGTAGCTAGTTATTGTGTAGTTATAAAAAAATTTGCATATAAATTAAAATAAAACCATTTCTTTATTACTTACTATTTTCTTTTATGTGCGTGCACATTTGCATGCGTGCGTGCGTTTCAGTTTTTGTAGGACGAGCTACTTATCTGGCGTGTTTTTATGTGGCGGATCAGAAGATGTTCGGGAGGTTTACGAATTTCTGATTACTGAATAGGTTCCTGGATAGTGTTGGCTATAACCGGCCCTCCGAGCGTAATTCTGTTTGCGGGCGGGAAAGTTACTGTCGTGAATTAACTCTTCCAAGCCAAGCTGGGAGCGATACCTATGGCAAAATTCTAGAATATTTATTTGAAACACGCTACATTTTTACAAAAGCCGCTTTTGAGCAGCCTGACACCTTTTTTTTTGAAGACGTTGAAGAAGGTAATCGATGTCTACACCTGTGAGATATTATTCTTGTGATCTCTCTGTACGAGAATCTGCATTCGTATATGGTAAGCATCTCCACAGAAACTTGTTGTTCGTGTTTCTAATCTAGGTGCCGTTCGACACTGAGGATTACGTGGTAGGAATGTTCTTCGATATATACTCCTTTAACAACACCTCGCACGAAGTTGTTTGTAGAGAGACGGGATGTTTTGGACAAATTAATTCACTGGATCCGAAGCATGCTAAAACTGATAAACTTGTGCTTCTTAGCTAGATATTTTGTCATGTATTGCCGTGACTTCGTCACGTTTCTTTCATTTTACGAATACTTGCAACACGAGCTATATTTTCCTCGCAATACTTATTTCTAAGAAAGATATATCCCCCAGCGATATGTTCGCCCGTCGTTTTCTCTTGCGACGCACCCTCAACAGCGAAACTTCACCTTTGCGTCGTGCAAGTTGTGGAAACTGTTATATATATTCTGAGGTTGTTACATTTTTAAAGAAAACACGAGGTCATATTGCCCGTGGTCAGAATGGTCAGATACTTGATTTCGCGGAGAAAGAAACGGTATCCTCTCAACTTTTTAACGTATATACTAGACAGTGATCATCCATGAGATTGTCGCAAGTCTGTCAAAGTTTGCGATACGTGGCGATAGGAATATTCGACGAGTAGTTATCCGGTGGACGTTGAGCGAAACGCGGCTATATTCTTTTTGAAGACTCTACTACCTTCTAGGATGTTTCAGTGTGCAAACTTATCTGGTGGCATATGTACAGCTGGAGCGGTCCGTGGAGTAATTTCTGTTGTTTACGGGAAACATAAAGATGAGTACAGTCAATCGCGTGATGAAGATCGATCTTCGCACCTGCGGAATCTGGCCATATCTATCGTCAATTGTTTTATTCTGATGATTGTTTCGGATCGTGGTGCTAAGCATAACTCAATTTTTTAAATATCAATACGCGGTGAGACACTTTTACATCGATAATTTCCCCGATTTAATGGATAGCGTAATGTGTAAGCGGCGTTATGGCATATGGTCTGTTGTTTATCAAATTCAACACATTATAGGCGAATCAACGGTAAGATATAAATTTTGTATTATGGCTAGCTTGTGTAAAATAAGATATTTATATTTAGTGCGAGCACGGCCAGACGAACTACCTTAATCTTGTCATTACTCATTCTTCAATTGCATGACTGCGGTAATTCTGTATGGGATGCTCACTGTAAATGCCGGTGATATTCAAAAGATGAATGTGTCCGTGCAAGAACACATCTTGAAATTAAAGCTATCAGATTGACATGTATAATATCATAAAATATCCTAATAGTATCATGATATTATCATAACAGTGTTTGGCATTAACATGAAGAAATAGTAAACTATAAATTAAACAATAAAAGAATCTCAGTAATAGCAGTATAAAAAAAACATTATTATTTTAAATGTTACCTAAAATAATATTCCATTTATTTCTAACAATTAAATTAATTTATTCTTTTTTAATGTGTAAAATAAGACATCGATAAATATATTACATACAAAATGCTTTTCTCGCATATAATCAGATATTTTTATTTTTTTTAGATTACTGTAAAGTTTAAATAATAACATAAAAAAACAGTCTTTTTTGAAAGATCAAGATAAGCTCTTTGCATTTTATGCTGTTTCCTTAAAACTTATATTATACTTGTCAATTGCGAGAAACGCCATTAGCACTGCAATATAAAACTTCACTTATCACTTCGTTTCTCCGTCTCTTGCTTCTGGTTTATTTTTTGACGATTATCTGTATCTGACGGGTACCGGAGTTTTATTCAAGATCGCACGATTTACATATTTTGAGAGAATAAGTTGTGAACGCGTGCACACTCGCCACACTTCCTGCACGAGAAAGAATTTTGATATTAAGGAAATAAAATCTCAGAAAAAGAAACTTTTACCTTGTCCATTTTCCCTCTTCTTCGAAGAATTCTCCCCTATGCGTGGACATACAAAGCTTTCCTTACGGTCGTTGAATATGGTTCAATGCCCTATGTATATTCACATGTTAATATCTGCAGTTGCTTGAATTTTTAAAGAAAGTAATGCACTGCACGCTACACCACCGTCTTGTCCAAGGATTCAAAGGGAGAAAGTTTCGGCCACCCGGAAACTTTTATTTTTTTCACCGACAATAGTACACGCAATCTGTGCAGGTTGTGATCAAAATATTTAATAAAACCATGTCTCGTGGAGGGGTGGGAGAGATAAGTCCCGCTCTTGTTCTCTTCCAGCTCTTAGTTTTTACAGAGATACCGAATAGTGCATATCGTACGATCGATCAGGTGTTATTCGTAACAACGTTTAAAATTCTCTTATCGAAATCAACGCATGTTAACGGTGCAAAATAATAGGATAATAATAACAACAACAGAAACATGAAAGTAGACGTAGAGAATACAGTTACCAAAGCGATAGAAATTTATTTACGAATTCTTGGCATCTGGCCGAATACATCGTACTCTTTATTCCGTATACTCTTCTGGATTATCTCGCTCGTAATCGAGCAAATCTATCAATATCGATATATTGTAATGCATTTTTATATGATCGAGTTTTCCGACATGGCACAAATTTTGGGTTCAGCCATGTCGTATTCGATATTTTTAACCAGACTTCTCATTTTTTGGTATAAACGACGGTGAGATACGTAACGGCACGTTGTGATATGCACTGTCAATGAAAAATTAACTTTACGTATTATTTAACTTAATTATATGTAATAATATTATTCAATAACATTAATAATATTATTCAACAAGTTTGTTACATACACTTAGTATTTCATCTTGATTTATTACTATAGTCGATAAAATACGACTTTTACAATTGTTTTAATTAATAAAATTTATTTGGCAATTAAGAGTGTAAACATAATAATAAAGTTAATTAAATACAAATTGCTAAAATAAATTAATTATTGTACACGAAGAAAATTTAAAGGGAACAACCTTGACAAGCAAACAATTTATCTTTTCTTTTTTCAAATTAAATATTTAAGAAATAAAACCTCTGAGTATTTGAAATTTTGGCACATTTGATTTTATGGTTATTTAAAAAAGAATTATTATAAAATATTAATAATAAAGTTATTGGTAATGGCGGAAAGCAGTTCAGTACCTGGTGGTGGACATGAAATCTCAAAAACTTCAACAATTTTTTTCAAAAATTTTTTATTAGTTGTTGAAAGCAATATCTAAAATGTATCGGAACAGAATTTCAAAAAAAATCTTAAAAAAATATAAAAATATTTTATTTGCAAACTAGTATAAAACTAAATTTTCTTTAATAAAATTGAAAAAAATTTTTTTTTTTTTAATTTTGCTTTCAATATATCTTAGAGACACTTTTCAAAGTTATGAATCAGTTTTTTATTTTAGATTTCTTGTTACAATTGTTACTCCGAAATTATGCTTACTTTTTTCTTAAATATTTAACTTTAAAAAAAGGTCTATTTTTTCGTTTGTCAAAATTCTATCCTCTTATTAAGCAGAATTGCATAAGTAAAGTGATTGGGCAACAATCAATTTTTCATCGATGGTTCGTATAGAGCTTTGTTGCCGCAATTAAGATTATAAGATTATAACCAATGAAACCTTTCCTAGAACGTTCAACAAGATATTAACGATGATAGCGGTCGACTGGGAAAAAAGCTCCGACACGAAATTTAGCATGTTAACAACGAAGTGCAATGCCAAACTGTCGCAGCGCTTCGTTAACATAACGGTGATTCTCTATTTGACTGCTGTAATTTTTTTTAGCAGCAAAATCCTCGTAAAGCACGCGGATGATGACATAGCCCCGAACGTTTCCACACGATTACTTATTCAAGAGATGGATTTGCCATTTGACGTTAATCGAACATTCGTATATGAATTGGTCATAATTGTTCAATTCCTTCACTTGCTGGTATGTGCTAACGGAACGGGTTTAACAAATGCTTTACTTGTACACTTGGTAAGTCCTGTTACCTGTTACGCAAAAAGATTGTTATTATTATTATTATTATTATTATTATTATTATTATTATTACTATTATTATTATTATTATATTATAAATATTATCAATTATTTACATTATTTATAAATAGTATTTTTTGATATTTTATTAGTCATAAGATCAACTAATTAAAAAAATGTATACATGGACCCTATATTTTATCAAAAATAGTTTATCGGCAATTGTGTTGCTTTTCGGATTTAAAAGATTCTGTGCAGCATAAATTTAATGTAGCCATATTATATTTTTTCTCGCGATCTCTATTAAGACAGCTGTTGAAAGAAACTTATATTTCAGATATTGCATATAAGCGGTCAAATCGATATTCTTCGTAAAAGTGTGATGGAAATTTTTCCGAAGAAAAATGAGTGCAGTTCGAATCATCTTATGGAAATAAAGAAAATAATCAAGAAACACCAGAATATTATTATTTTTGCAGAACATATTGAAGAACTGTACTCGTATATCGCAATGGTGTTTTTCATATCGGATACTGTGCTTATCTGCTTCTTGGGTTTTACAATAGTCACGGTAAGTGATTTTGATTAATTCTACGGTTAAGAGGAATATATACTATAGAAACCGCAGAGTTGATTCTGTAGAATAGAACAGTACTAATTCGTTACTTTAATTATTCATAGTTTTATAACATTTCTCTTGCTCCTTTTCAAATTTCTAGTCGATTGGTCGACCTAATGCTGCAGAAAATATAATCAAGAATTTCGTGTTCTACTTCATTGTGAATGTAGAAGCATTTTTGTTCTGTTTTGCTGGAGAATATTTGAGCGCTAAGGTTAGATATTGAGAAGAATATTGTGTATACGATAAATATTACATTACATAATTGTTTCTAAGAGATATAAAATCCATTATTTATTAGAGCAAGAGCATTGGAGATGCTGCATACGATTCTCTTTGGTACGAATCAGATTCCAAACACGGTCGAACTATATTGCTCTTAATAATGAAATCACAAAATTATTTAACTATTACAATTGGAAATATGGCGAATTTGTCTCTAGAACAATTTAGCGGTGTAAGTCTATTTCACATTTGTTTCGTACGCGTAAAACTTTTTACGGATTTTAGGCTAAAGATTGTCCTGCTAATTATCTAGAATCATGGAAAAATAGAAAATGTGTTATTTGTTCTTAAAACATAAATAGAATATTATTATCAATTAATTTTTATAATGCTTTTAATATAAAATGTATAATAATAATATATTTTTTTATTTCATATTTATGTTTTTATATATTTTGTTTTAAATAGTAAATAATATTTTCTGCAATATTCACGTTGTTATATGTATATTACTAAAACAAATCAATCGACAAATGAATAACTTTTTACATTAAGTTTAAAAAATTCTACATTATTTTTATAATAATCAAATAATACTATTGCAGATTCTAAAAGCTTCGGCTTCCTACGTATCGATTCTACTTGCAATGTAATGAAGCAAAACTACATTCAAATTTTCAATGAGCATGAGTGGCTAGTTATTGTGTAGTTGTAAGAGAACTTGCATATGAATTAAAGTAAAACCGTTTCTTTATTACTTACTATTCATTTTCATGTACGTGTATATTTGCATGCGTGTGTTTTAACTTATATGGGCTATTATCGGGCACGTGTCCATGTAGCGTATCAACAAACGTCTAGGTAATCTTTGGATTTCTGAATACCCGAGTGAGCCTCTGGACGGCTCTAATCGATTCTACAAGCGTAAAATCCTGGAGCCGGAAAAGCTATTACCATGGACTAACTCTTTCGTGTCAAGCTGAGACAGCTACAGTGCAGATGGCTGTTTGACACCAGAATGCAGCGTCGTGAAAGCAAACGATGCTTCTGAGATCCCGGGCGGAACCTCTGAGTGTTTAACCTTATACGGACATGCTCTACCCGAATAAACCATCGTTTCCTAGCTATTCATGGGACCAGTATGGATGTAACTAAATTTGAAAATGGTCTTTCCAAAGGAAATAGGAGTAACGGCTCGCAAGGACCTTTATTCTCTGCATGGAGGAGCAACTTCGGAGCTCCGGAGTGAAGTTTACTGGGCCCGGAAATTTGCTGCTACCAGTGTAGCAGCAGCAGCTTGAAGAAGAATGGCTGCGGAGCCAAGAGAAAAAGGGCCAAACCGTATCTGATATACGAGCACTAGAGTTTTATTCAAAATCTTGCAATTTACATATTTCGAGAGAATAAGTTGTGAACACGCGCACACTCGCCGCACTTACGGTAATGCTCAAGAAAGAATATATTTTGATATTAAGAAAGCAATATCTCAGAAAAAGAAACTTCCACTTTATTCATCTTTTCTCTTCCTCGACAAATTCTCCCCTATGCACGGAAATACTAAACTTTTCTTACATTCACCGACAAAAGTTTAATGTCGTATTCGCGTGTTTTTATCTGCCGTTGCTATCACTTGTTTGAATTTTTAAAGGAAGTAATGCAATGAACGCTAGGCCACCGTTTTGCCCAACAATTCGAAGAGAGAGGGTCGGCCACTCGGAAACTTCTTTTTCTTTCATCGACGACAGTATTCGCAATCTGTGCATGTTGCGATCAAAATATTTAATAAGGTGTAGCTCCTGGAGGGGTGAACCTCAGTCTTGCTCTCTTTCATGCTATCAGTTTGTACAGAGATACCGCATTGTGAACATCGTACGATCGATCAGGAGTTTTCCGTAACAACGTTTAAAATTCTATTATCGGGATTAACGCATGTTAACGGTGCAAAATAATAGGATAATAATAATAGTAATACAAGTATGAAAGTAGACAATACAGTTAGCAAAGCGATAGAAATTTGTCTACGAATTTTTGGCATCTGGCCGAATACATCGTGCGCTTTATTATGTAGACTCTTCTGGATTGGCTCGCTTGTAATCGAGCAAGCCTTTCAATATCGATATATTGTAGTGCATTTTTATTTGATCGAGTTTTCCGACAGGATGAAAATGTTGGGTGCAGTCATAACGTATTCGATACTTTTAATGAAACTCGTCATTTTTTTGTATAAGCAACGGTGAGACACGCAACGGCACGTAGTAATACGTACTATCAGTGAAAAATGAGCTTTAACTATTATTTAATTTAATTATATTTAATTAGTTCAGTAATATTCAGTTACATGCATTTAGTATTACATCTTAATTTAACATTTACTTTGGTCAATAAAATACATTATTTAGCAACTGCTTTGTTCGATAAATAAAATCATTTCCCAATTAAGAACGTGAACATTGTAATAAAGCTAAATTAAATACTTATGCTGTATATATATAATAAATTAATTATTGTGTACGAGCAGAATTGAACTGAAACTCATGGGTATTGCGACAATAAATTTTTCACCAATAGTTTGTATATAATGCTTCGTTGCGGCCGTCATCACAATTATGACTAATGGAAATCTTTCCTAGAACTTTCAACAGGATATTAACGATGATGGCGAACGACTGGGAAGAGTGTTCCAATACGAAATTTAGTATGTTAACGACGAAGTGCAATGCCAAACTGTCGCAGCGCGTCGCTAATACGACGGTGATTCTTTATTCGACATCTGCAATTTTTTTTAGCAGCAAAATCCTCGTAAAACACGCCGATGGTGGCATAGGCTCAAACGTATCCACACGATTACTCATTTTAGACATGGATTTGCCATTTGACGCTAATCGGAAATTCGTATATGAATCAGTCATAATTGTTCAATTTTTTTATTTGCTAGTATGTTCTAACGCAATGGGTTTATTAAATGCTCTACTCATAAATCTGGTAAGTCCTGTTACACAAAATGTTATTAATATCAATATTATTATAAGTAATTATCTATTATTTATATTACTTACCAATGTTACTTCTTGATATTACATTAACTATATCAATTGACTGACGGAATGTACATATTGCCTACTTTATCAAGAATAGTTTATTAGCAGTTGTGATGCTTTTCGGATTTTGAAAGATTCTGTGCAGCATAAATTTAATTTAGGTATTCAAAATTTTTTCTTGCGATTTTTATTAACTACAACTGGTGAAAGAAATATATATTTTAGGTATTGCATATAAGCGGTCAAATCGATATTCTTCGTAAAAGTGTAATGGAAATTTTTCCAAAAAAAGGAATGGACAGTTCGAGTCGTTTTATGGTTCAAAAAATAATCAAAAAACACCAGAAAATTATAACCTTTTCAGAACATATCGAAGATCTATATTCGTATATCGCAATGGCGCTGTTCGTATCGGATACTTTGGTTATCTGCTGCTTAGGTTTTTCAATTGTCGCGGTAAGCAATTTTGATTAATTCGGCTGTTAAGAGTTCTATATGCAAAAAAACCGCGCTGTTAAATCTGCAAAATAGAAGAATATTAATTCATGCTTTTAATTAATCATTGTTTTATTACATTTCTCTTGTTCTTTTTTCTTAATATTCTAGTCTCTTGGTCGACCCGATGCTTTAAAAAATATAATCAATAATCTCGTATTTTATTTTGTTATGAATATGGAGGCATTCATATACTGTTTCGCTGGAGAATACTTAAGCGCAAAGGTTAAACATAAAGACTAATATTTATAAATAAGTAGAATATCACGTAATTGCTTCTAAAAGCTACAAAATCTACTATTCAATAGAGCAAAAGCATTGGAGATGCCGGGTATGGTTCCCTCTGGTATGAATCAAGTTCCATAGACTGTCAAATTATATTGCTTTTAATAATGAGATCGCAAAATCAATTAGCTATTACAATTGGGAAGATAATGAATTTATCTCTAGAACAATTTAGCAGTGTAAGTATATCTCAGATTTCTTTCATGCGTGAAATATTTTACAGATTTTATGCTGAAGAGATTGTGTCTTGCCAATAATGATCTAGAATCATTAAAAAAGTAGGAAATATGTTATTTCTTTTTAAAATATAAATAGAATTAACATCAATTAATTTTGTAATATACTTGTATATACAATTTATACTAATAATATATTTTTTTATTCGATAGTTATATTTTTATATATTTATTTTAAATTGCATATAATGTTTGTTGCAATATTCACATTGTTATATATTTTTAAAAGAAGTCAAATTACAAATACGTAATTTTTTACAGTGAATTTAAATATTCATAATTTTTACATTATTCTTACAATAATCAAGTAATACTGTTGCAGATTCTAAAAGCTTCGGCCTCCTACATGTCAGTTCTATTTGCAATGTATTGAAGCGAAACTACTTTCTATTTTCATCGAATTTTTAATGACTGTTAATAGTAGATTGTTGTTTAGTTGCAAAAAAATTTACATATAAATTAAAACCGTTGCTCTATTTCTTACCAATCTCTTTCATGTGCGTGCACATTTGCGTGCATGCGTGCGTTCAGTCTCTGTGAGCTGACTTACTTATCTGGTGTGTTTCCAAGTGGCGAATCGGAGAACATCCAAGTGATCTTCGGGTTTCTGATTGTCCGAGTAGGCTCCTGGGTGACTATAACCAGTCCTCCGGACGTGAAGTCCTGTCTAGAGCCAGAAAAACTGCCGTTAACCAACTCTTCCATACCAAACTGGGAGTTACCGTGGCGATGACTGTATGGCACTGGGATGCAGCATTATGAATGATAATTCTAGAAGCGATAACGGACGAAATTCTAAAATATTTATCCTTACACGTGTATGCGGTGCTTTTCCCGGGTGGACCATTTATCTCTATCTACTCATGGAACCAGAATAGATGTAGCTGAATTTGAAAATGGCCTTTCTGGGTAAATGGGAATAAGGGCTCGCAAAGAGCCTTATTCTCTGGAGGAGTAGCTTCAGCTCCGGATTAAGCTCTTCAGAGCCCGGAAAATTGCTGCTACTAATGTAGCTGCTCTTCCTTAAAAAGGAATTGCTGCGAAGCCGAAAAAAGGGAGAAGAACTTAGCCAGATTTACTTCCTGCCCCTGTACTGCTCTCGAGGTAATACCTTGGAAGGAAGAGAAGGGACATGCTGGTAATTATTTTATTTCTCGTTTATGTGTAATGAAAAACATCGATAACAATATCACATAACAAATTTCGAAATGTTAAAACAATATTATAATGCTTATAAAACAATTTCTTTAAAAAATTTACATAAGCTTTTCGTACTTTACGATGTTTTTATATAGCTTATAATATATATACTTGTCGTTTGCAAACATCGTTGGTACTGGAATATAAAACTTTACTCAGCACTTCGTTTCCCTGTTTTCTGCTTCTGGCACATTTTTTCACATTTTTTAATACACGCAACCTTTATCTTACGTGCACCAGAGTTTCAGCCGAAATCGATTTACATATTTCGGGAGAATATAGTTGTGATCGCGTGCACACTCGCCGCATTTATCGTAATACGCGAGGAAGTATATCTTTCGATATTAAGGAAATAAAATCTTGGAAAGAGAAACTTTCGTCTCTTCCATCTTCCCTTTTCCTCGAAATATTCTCTGCTACGCACGCAAATACAAAACTTTTCTTACGGTCACCGAATACGGATTAATATTTTATGTACATTCACGTGTTGCTATCTGCTATTGCTTGAATTTATAAAGGAAATCACAGACTGCGCGTTACACCGTTTGACTAGAGAATTCGAGAGGGAAAGAATCGGACACCCGGAAATTTCTTCTTTTTTTCACTGACAGTAGTACACGCATGTTTCGATCGAAATATTTAATAAGCCGTGACTCGTGGGAGGGTAAACTCACTCGTGCTCTCTTCCGGGCTTTCAGTTTGTACAGAGATACCATACAGTGCATATCATACAATCGATCAGACTCGTAACAACGTTTAAAATTGTCATAATCAACGAATGTTAACTGTGTAAAATAGAATAATAATAATAATAACAAAATTATGAAAGTAGAGAATGCAGTTAGCCAAGCGATAGAAATTTGTCTACGAATTTTTGGCATCTGGCCAAATATATCTTGCGTTTTATTACGTAGACTCTTCTGGATTGTCACGCTCGTACTCCAGCAAGCCTTTCAGTATCGATATATAATAATGCATTTCCATTTGTTCGAGTTTGACGAGATGACGAAAATTCTGAGTGCGGCTTTGGCGTATACAATACTTTTAGCGAAACTTGTCATTTTTTGGTATAAGCAACGGTGAGATACGCAACGGCACGTAGTGATACATACTGTCAGTGAAAAAATAGCTTCAATTATATTATTTAGTTAGTTACATACATTTAGTCATACATCTTGATTTAACAATTACTTCAGTTATTAAAATATTCTATTTAACAATTAATTTGGCCGATAAAATAAATTCTTTAGTAATTAAGAACGTGAACATTGTAACAAAGCAGAATTAAGTACTTATACTGTAATAAATTAATTAATATACACGGAAAAAGAACGATTTTGCTAAAGTATCTAAAAATTTAGCTATATAAAGATCTAAAAATAATTTTGTTGCACCATCAAAATAATTATAGTAGGTCGCAGAGGTATGATAATAATGCTGTAAAAAATTTTGATATATTTGGCAATCAGTTTTGAGTGTTCTACATAATTATTTTGATGGTGCAACAAAATTATTTTCAGATCTATATCTAGCTGAATTTTTAGATACTTCAGCAAAACTGTACTTTCCGTGTACCACAAGAAAGAAATGAGCAGACACGAATGGGTATAAAGCCATTGCATAATAATAACTATTACTTTTATAACTTATAATTATTACTTATAACTAATAAAAACTATTCACCAATGTTTTGTATAACGCTTCGTTGCGATCGTTATCACGATTATGACCAATGAATATCTTTCCTAGAAAGTTCAACACAATATTAACAATGATGGCGGCTGACTGGGGAGAGCGTTCCAATACGAAATTCAGTATGTCAGTGATGACGTGCAATGCCAAACTGTCACGGCGCTTTGCTAACATAACGGTGATTCTCTACGTGGCAAATGTAACTCTTTTTAGCAGCAAAATCCTCGTAAAGCACGCGGATGATGACATAGCCTCGAACGTTTCCACACGACTACTTATTCAAGAGATGGATTTGCCATTTGACGTTAATCGACGATTCGTATATGAATCAGTCATAATTGTACAATTTCTTCATTTGCAGTTGTGTGGTTACATAGTGGGTATATTAAATGTTCTACTTATAAATCTGGTGAGTCCTGTTTATCCTTACGTAAGATAATAATGTGTACTATAATATTATTATGAGTATTATCTATTATTTATATTCTTTGTAAATGCTATATTTTCTTGATATTTTATTAAATATAATATTATCTTATGAAATGTGTACATGTGCATATTTCCTACATTATCAAAAATTATTTATTAGCAGTTGTACTGCTATTCAGATTTTGAAAGATTCTGTGCAGAATTTTAATTTAAGTATATATTTTTTTTTGAGACGTCTATTAAGTACAGTTGTTGAATATATTTTAGATACTGCATATAAGCGGTCAAATCGATATTCTTCGTAAGAGTGTGACGGAAATTTTTCCAAAGGAAGGAAAGTGCAGTCCGAGTCGTTCTGTGGTAAAAGAAATAATTAAAAAACATCAGAAAGTTATCATCTTTTCAGAACATATCGAAGATCTATACTCATATATCGCATTAGTGGTATTCGTATCGGATACCTTAATGATCTGCTTCTTGGGTTTTACAATTGTCGCGGTAAGCGATTTATATAAATTTTGCGGTTAAAAGGAATCTATACTCTATAAAAACCGCTTTGTTAATTCTGCAGAATGAAAGGATGCCTTTAATTATTTTTCATTTTATTACATTTCACTTGCACTTATAATATTTCTTAAAATTGTAGTCGATTGGTCAACCCAATGCTTCAGAAATTATAATCAATAATCTCGTATTTTACCTCGTTATGAATATCGAGGCGTTCGTATTCTGTTTTGCTGGAGAATACCTAAGCGCTAAGGTTAGACGTTGTTACGAATATTGTATATACACGATAAATAAACCGAATACGTAATTACTTCTAAAAGCTACAAAATTCATTATTCAATAGAGCAAAAGCATTGGAGATGATGCATACGATTCCCTGTGGTACAAATCAAATTCCAGAGACAGTAGAATTATTTTGCTTTTGATAATGAGATCACAAAATCAATTAACAATTACAATTGGAAAGATAATGAATTTATCTCTAGAACAATTTAGCAGTGTAAGTCTATCACAAATTTGTTTTCTATAAGTGAAACTCTTCATAGAATTTATGCTGAAGATTGCCTTGGCAATATTTATCTAATTTCTATACATTATTCTTATAATAATCAAGTAATACTGTTGCAGATTCAAAAAGCTTCGGCCTCCTACATGTCAGTCCTATTTGCAATGTACTGAAGTGAAACTACTTTCTATTCACATCGAATTTTTAATGATTAATAGTTGGTTGTTTAGTTGCAAAAAAATTTGCATATAGATTAAAGTAAAACCGTTGCTCTATTTCTTACCATTCTTTTTCATGTGCGTGCACATTTGCATGCATGCGTGCGTTCAGTCTCTGTGAGCTGACCTACTTATCTGGTGTGTTTCCAAGTGGCGAATCCAAGGAGAACATCCAAGTGATCTTCGGGTTTCTGATTGTCCGAGTAGGCTCCTGACTATAACCGGTCCTCCGAAAGTGAAGTCCTGTCTAGGACCAGGAAAGCTACTGCCGTGAACCAACTCTTCCATACCAAACTGGGAGCACCGTGGCGATGACTGTATGGCACCAGGGTGCAGCATTATGAATGATGTTTCTAGGAGCGATACCGGACGAAATCCTAAAATATTTATCCTTGCACGTGTATGCGGTGTTTTTCCCGGGTGGACCATCTTTCTCTATCTACTCATGGAACGTAGCAGCTGCTCCTTAAAAAGAAATTGCTGCGAAGCCGAAAAAAGGAGGGATAAAAAGAAGAACTTAGCCAGATTGACTTTCTGCCACTGTACTGCTCTCGAGGTAATACCGTGGAAGGGAGAGAAGGGACATGCTGGTAATTATTTTATTTTTAACAAGTGGTTTCCTCGCATATATAATTAGATATATTCCTTTATTATAAATTTCCGAAATGTTAAAACTGCAATATTATAATGCTTATAAAACGATTTTTTTGCAAAATTTACATCAGCTTTTCGTATTTTACGATGTTTTTATATAGCTTATAATATATACTTGTCGTTTGCGAACATCGTTGTTACTGGAATATAAAACTTTACTTAGTACTTCGTTTCCTTGTTGCTTCTTGCACATTTTTTCACGATTAATGCATCACGCAACCTTTATCTTATGTGCACCAGAGATTCAGCCAAAATCGATTTACATATTTCGGGAGAATATAGTTGCAATCGCGTGCTCACTCGCCGCATTTATCGTAATACGCGAGGAAGTATATCTTTCGATATTAAGGAAATAAAATCTTGTAAAAAGAGAAACATTTGTCTCTTCCACCTTCCCTTTTCCTCGAAATATTCTCTGCTACGCACGCAAATACAAAACTTTTCTTACGGTCACCGAATACGGATTAATATTTTATGTACATTCACGTGTTGCTATCTGCTGTTGCTTGAATTTTTAAAGAAAATAACAGACTGCGCGTTACACCGTTTGGCTAGAGAATTCGAGAGGGAAAGAATCGGACACCCGGAAATTTCTTTTCTTTTTTTCACTGACAAAAGTACACGCATGTTTTGATCGATTATATTTAATAAACCGTGACTCGTGGGAGGGTGAACTCACTCGTGCTCTCTTTCGAGCTTTCAGTTTGTACAGAGATACCATACAGTGCATATCATACAATCGATCAAACTCGTAACAACGTTTAAAATTCTCATGATCAACGAATGTTAACAGTGTAAAATAGAATAATAAATAATAACAAAAATATGAAAGTAGGGAATGCAGTTAGCCAAGTAATAGAAATTTGTCTACGAATGTTTGGTATCTGGCCGAATACATCGTGCGTTTTATTACGTAGAGTGTTCTGGGCCGTTACGGTCTTAATCGAGCAAGCCTTTCAGTATCGATATATCGTAATGCATTTCAATTTGATCGAGCTTTCTGAGATGATGGACACTTTGAGTACAACAATGGCGTACACGATATTATTATGTAAACTCGTTATTTTTTGGTATAAACAGCGGTGAGATACGAAACGGCACATATGTAATAATATTGCACTATCAGTGAAAAAATTAGCTTTAAATATTACTTATTTAATTATATTATTTAATAACATTAAGTTTGTTATATAAATTTGGTATTACATCAATCCAACAATTATTTTAACCGATAAAATAAATTATTTAATAATTGCTTTAATCGATTAAGTAAATTGTTTGGCAATTGCAAATGTGAACAATGTAATAAACTTGAATTAAGGACAAATTGCTGTAAATAAATTAATTATTGAGCACAAATCGGAAATAAGCGGACTCGCGTAAGTAAAGTCAATGCACAACATGAAATTTTTCACCGATAGTTTGCATAACGCTTCGTTGCGGCCATTATCACGATTATGATTAATAAAAACCGTTTGTAGAACGTTCAACAAGATATTAACGATGATGGCGATCGACTGGGAAAAATGTTCCAAGACGAAATTCGCGACGACCAGCAATGTCAAACAGTCGCACCGCTTCGCTAACATAACGGTGATTCTTTATTCGACGTCTATAATTTTTTTTAGCAGCAACGTTTTTATACAGAACGCGGATGATGGCATAACCTTCAACGATTCCACACGATTACTCATTCTAGAGATGGATTTGCCATTTGACGCTAATCGGAGATTCGTATATGAATCAGTCATAATTATTCAATTTGTTTATTTGCTGATATGTGCTAACGCAATGGGTTTATTAAATGCTCTACTCATAAATTTGGTAAGTCCTGTTATACAAAATGTTATTAATATAATTATAATTTTGAGCATTATCTATTATTTATATATATATTACTTATAAAACTCAATTTCGTAATATCTCATTAACCATGTATAATATCAGTTGATTGACAGAATGTATTATACATATGCAAATATCTTACATTATCAAACGTAGTATATTGGTAATTGTGATATTTTACGAATTTTAAAAGATTAATGTTTTTCTTCGACCGCTCTTACATATTGCTGTTGAAAGAAACGTATATTTTAGATATTGCATATAAGCGGTCAAATAGATATTCTTCGTAAAAGTGTAATGGGAATTTTTCCAAAAGAAGGAAATCACAGCCCGAGTCGTTTTATGATAAAGGAAATAATTCAAAAACACCAGAAAATTATCACTTTTTCAGAGCATATGGAAGATTTGTATTCGTATATCGCGATTGTGCTGTTTGTAACGAATACGTTGATTATCTGCTGCTTGGGTTTTACAATTGTCGCAGTAAGTGATTTTGATCAAATGTATAATGGGTCAGATGAATATATACTATAGAAACCGCGCTGTTGAATCTGCAAAATAGAAGAAATTCCTGTCTTTAATTATTCATTATTTTATTTCATTTCCCTTGCTCTTTCTTAAAATTTTAGTCGATTGGTCGACCCAATGCTTTACAAAGTATACTAAAGACTCTCTCATTTTATTTTGTTACGAATATGGAGGCGTTCATATACTGTTTTGCTGGAGAATACTTGAGCGCAAAGGTTAGACGTTGTGACAAATATTGTACACAATAAATAAATATTACGTAATTATTTCTTAAAGCTACAAAATCCATTATTTAATAGAGCAAAAGCATTGGAGATGCTGCGTACGATTCTCTATGGTACGAATCAAATTCTAAAGACAGTCGTATTATATTGTTCTTAATAATGAGGTCGCAAAATCAATTAACTATTACAATTGGAAAGATAATGAATTTGTCTCTAGAACAATTTAGCAGTGTAAGTCTATCACAGATTTGTTTTCTATAGGTGAAACTCTTCACAGATTTTATGCTGATCGAAGATTGCCTTGGCAATATTTATCTAATTTCTATACATTATTCTTATAATAATCAAGTAATATATGGTTACAGATTCAAAAAGCTTCGGCCTCCTACATGTCAGTTCTATTTGCAATGTATTGAAGTGAAACTACTTTCTGTTTACATCGAATTTTTAATAACCGTTAATAGTTAGTTGTTGTTTAGTTGCAAACAAATTTGGATATAAATTAAAGTCAAACCGTTGTTCTATTTTTTACCATTCTCTTGAATGTGCGTGCACATTTGCATGCATGCGTGCGTTCAGTCTCTGTGAGCTACTTATCTGGTGTGTTTCCAAGTGGCAAATCCAATGAGAACATGCAAGTGATCTTCGGGTTTCTGATTGTCCGAGTAGGCTCCTGGGTGACTATAAACCGGTCCCCCGAACGTGAAGTCCTGTCTAGGGTCAGGAAGGCTACTGCCGTGAACCAACTCTTCCATACCAAGCTGGGAGCACCGTGGCGATGACTGTATGGCACCAGGGTGCAGCATTATGAATGATGTTTCTAGAAGCAATACCGGACGAAATTCCAAAATATTTATCCTTGCACGTGTATGCGGTGCTTTTCCCGGGTAGACCATCTTTCTCTATCTACTCATGTAACCAGAATAGATGTAGCTGAATTTGAAAATGGTCTTTTTAAGTAAATGGGAATAAAGGCTCGCAAAGGGCCTCATTCTCTGGCGGAGTAGCTTCAGCTTCAGATTAAGCTCTTCAGAGCTCGGAAAATTGCTGCTACTGATGTAGTAGCTGCTCCTTAAAAAGGAATTGCTGCGAGGCCGAAAAAAAGAAGGATAGGGAGAAGAACTTAGCCAGATTGACTTCCTGCCCCTGTACTGCTCTCGAGGTAATACCGTGGAAAGGAGAGAAGGGACATGCTGATGCTGGTAATTAATCTATTTTTCGTCCATGTGTAATGTAAAATATCGATAACAATATCATATAACAAATCCTTTTTTCTCGCATAATTAGATATATTCCTTTATTATAGATTTTCGAAATGTTAAATTAATATTATAATGCTTATAAAACAATTTCTTTGAAAAATTTACATGAGCTCTTCGTACTTTACGATGTTTTTATATAGCTTATAATATATGTATACTTTGCGAACATTGTTGGTGGAACTGGAATATAAAACTTTTCTCAGCACTTCGTTTTCTGCTTCTGGCACATTTTTCACAATTAATGCATCACGCAACCTTTATCTTATGTGCACCAGAGTTTCAGCCAAAATCGATTTACATATTTCGGGAGAATATAGTTGCGATCGCGTGCACACACTCACCGCACTTACCGTAATACGCGAGGAAGTATATCTTTCGATATTAAGGAAAAAAAATCTTGTAGAAAAAGAAACTTTCGTCTCTTCCACCTTCCCTTTTTCTCGAAATATTCTCTGCTACGCACGCAAATACAAAACTTTTTTTATGGTCACCACTTTTCTTATGGAATACGGTTTAGTATTTTATGTACATTCGCGTGTTGCTATCTGCTATTGCTTGAATTTTTAAAGAAAATAACAGACTGCGCTTTATACCGTTTGGCTAGAGAATTCGAGAGGGAGAGAATCGGACACCCGGAAATTTCTTTTCTTTTTTTCGTTGACAATATTACACGCATGTTTCGATCGAAATATTTAATAAGCCGTGACTCGTGGGAGGGTAAACCCACTCATGCTCTCTTTCGAGCTGTCAGTTTGTACAGAGATACCATACAGTGTATATCATACGATCGATCAGACTCGTAACAACGTTTAAAATTCTCATGATCAACGAATGTTAACGGTGTAAGATAGAATAATAATAACAACAAAAATATGAAAGTGGAGAATACAGTTAGCAAAGCGATAGAAGCTTGTCTACAAATTTTTGGCATATGGCCGACTATTTCGGCAACGGTACATCCATAGAATTTCAATCCTTGTTTTTTTAAATTTTGACTGCGTCTTTTATACTTTGTTCGTCTATTGACTACGCCTTATACTCGACTTCTTTTTGATTATCCTTGTTAATCTTCGTATTTGACTTTATGTAACTTTTAACGCTGAAGAGAACACGAATAATGTGTCGAAACGTACGTTAATATATATATATTTATTTTTATAAATTGTTTGCGCTTTGATTACCGCGCTTGGCTCTAATTGCCTCTCCTATTCACATTGAATAAAAAATGTGTTATTTCTTTTTAAAATATAAATAGAATGTTACTATCAATTAACTTTTGTCATACACCATATATTTTCATATTTAAATATATATTTTTATATATTTTGCTATTTGGTTCAAATAGCAAATAATATTTACTGCACATTGCTATATATTATAGAAACGAGTCAAATGACAAATAAATAACTTTTCACATTAAATTTAAATATTTATAATTTTTACATAAATATTCTTATAATAATCAAGTATTACTATTGCAGATTGTAAAGGCTGCGGCCTCCTACATGTCAGTCCTGCTTGCAATGTATTGAAGCAAAACTACATTTCAGTTACATTGAATTTTTAATAAACACTAGACACTACAGACGCGCGCTACGCGCGCGCTATTTATCTTTAACATTTCACTATTAACCCTATTATACACAACTGTCAAAATATACAATGACAGCTGCAAATGAAGTAAGCGCAGCAAGAGAACCAATCGGCATCGCGGAAAAGCGGCAACAATAAACTTCACATCTCCTTTTTAGAAGAGGATTAATAGCTTGTTATATGTTTAGTTTCTAAGAAATGTGCATATGAATTAAAACGGCGAGAACCATTGCAGTATTACTATACCATTCTTCTTTATGTACGTGCATATTCGCATGCGTGCATGCGTTTCAATTGGAGTAAGAATAAAACTTGGGGCTTCCAGGCGGTAGATCGATGATTCGAGATACGCAATTTTTATTAAATGAAGTCGGTAAATGTAACCTTATACTGCTTTTCCCCCCTGCTAGCATTATTCCCTCCACTTTGCGAGTCCCGATAATTTCTTCTTCTTTTTTTAATTTTTCTGTAGAACTTTTATACGAACATTATACTTTTGCTGCCCGCACGGCTTCTAGCATTATTTTTAAGTCTCATAATTATAATTGGCCGTTATCGCATTACCCTGACGAGAAAGGGAGTGAAAACGAGTGGAAAGGAACGAATTCGTAAACTTTCTGTTATTATTTACAATTTCGTAATTGTATATCTATAGTTGTAATCGAGTATCTTATGTTCTTACCAAAAAAATGTTTAATGATTATTCGTTTTCTCTCAATTGCTTGTCGATGCGCTTTCGCGTTTTAGTTTTCAGTGAGGTATCCCGCAATCACAATAAAAGTGAACAAAACCTGCTGATGTTTGATGCTTTATGAATCATTGATTAGAGAAGCTTCTTTCTCGCAATTATGAAAATGACTGCTATGAGCACAGTATGCTTCTCTATAAAATTCATTCTTCGCAACTTCGGTATCTGGCCAGTATTATCCACTGTTTTGCGCAGATTGTTCTGGTTCGTGACATATTAATCGTCGTTCAATTTGTCAGTATGCTTATATTGCATTGCACTATCATACCGATGAGCTGATGGATTTGATGGACAATTTTAGAAACTTACTACACTAGAATACACTTTTCAAAGTGTACTCTAAATAACAAAAACTAAATTATTAATAACGTAATTAAATTGTATAAAGCTAAACAAGTGATTTAAATTTTAAATCGGGGAAGTACGTGTTTCAACACTAGATAATAATGTCATTTTTTCAACGATGCTATTCTGCATAATGATATTAAAAAGGGAGGGATTTTGTTTTTAGAAAATTGGTAATTGCATGGTTTGTAGGATGAAGCTGTGAAAAGGGTGTAAAGAGTATTAATGCAAATAACGTTGCAGTCAATAAACGGTCCAGACGTTTCCACAATGTTGGAGAAGACTCTACTGTTTTACATCATTATGAACTTCGAGGCGCCCAGTTTTTTCTTTGCCAGAGAATACTTAAGTACATAGGTTAGTGTATAATGTTAACTTAACAACTCGATTTCATAATCCATTTTGAAGTCGTCTAAATATAAAGTTTCACATCTTGGCATTTAATTAATACCTACTCTGTAAACTTTAATCTCAACAATCGAGCATATTATCTAGATTTGCATAACCGATTTAACAACTGCAGTTACGTAAAGATTAATAACAATTGGTTTTTGTTTTTATATATACAGTGTGTTTCTTAAAGAGCGCTCACTAATTACATAGCGCTGTTTTTCATAAAAAATTGAGTGAACCATTTTTTCTGTAATGCTTAATAAAACAGTAATTATTGAGAGTAAAGTTAATCCAATCAATGTCATCCTTTAGCTGGGCGTACGTTAATATATTTTCAGAAGTATATTTTTATCCTTTTTCCGTGATTATTATTATTATAGATCGTGAAAATGTCGGCGTCTTACGTATCTATGACGGCCATGTCCTGGAAAAAAAAATTATTCATGGTTAGTTGTAAACAATTATAAATGTTAACATTTAAAAATTGATTAAAAGAGATAACGCTTGTAGCTCTGCATTTTATACGCTTTTCTATTCTACCATTTCGCATTGCCACTCCGAATATCTCACTGACCGCGCACGTGACGTGAAAAATACAACACATTTATTTATATCATCCTATATATTCCACTTTAAACCTAATTATTTACCCTCTCTCTTTCTTCGACATACCTGGCTGCATATATTTATTTTATCTATTTTATTCTATTTACATTTTCTTTCAGCTCTTTCATCCATCTTTTTAGCACAATTTCTCTTTCTGTCTTCTCTCTCTTTATTTTCTGTCTTTTTCTCTCCCGTCCATCACTCATTCATACATATTTCCATATTTCCCAGTCTCCTTGTGTTTCCTCTCTCTGTGTTTCTTCTACGCTTTTTTAATTCTCTGATGTTTGCATTCCGCTACCCTCCGCAACTTATCCTTGCCCTCAAATATCTCAGCATCCCCATTGTTCTTAATACCATGTTATATCTTGATTCTGTCATTCCCTCTGTCTTATTTTCTTTCCTCTCTATCCTACATCACTGTTTTTTCTCTTCCACCTTATGAATAATATGTAGCATTTCATATTACAGTTAACTCTATTTATTATTAATTTTTATTAGTTTTTTTACGTAACATATATGTCATCACAATAAACAATTAACGTTGTTATAGATTAAAATGTTAGCCTCTGTATCACAATTCTATCGCTCCATATATCAAAGTGAAACAACATTTTATATATCGCGTTTCTAATAAGCATTAAAAGTCGGCTATTATATACTTGCATAGAAAATTTACATACAAATTAAAATTCGTCAAAATGTTTCGATGTTACTTACTGCTCTATCACGTGCGTCAATGTACTTGTTCGTACGCTTTCGTTGAATATCAGAATAAACTCGGAAAATCGAATACTCGCATAATTCGAAATACACAAAGTTGTGTTAAATGAAGTCATTGAACAAAGTGAGTTATGGTTTTCTCGTGCTCGCCCATTATTCTCCCCGCTTTGAGTCCCCGCCATCGATTTCCATTCGGACTTTATACACTTTCTGCGCGCACAGCGTCTTGCATTTTAACTGAATTACTTTATTATTGCGTTATAGGAAACGACAAACTGAGGGAGGGAGAATGTAAGAAGAATATATTTATTTCTGCCTTCCGGCTTGAAATGGTTACACATACATATATCATACCTATAGACATTATACATTTTCATACAAATTATACATACAAATCAAATCCAACAAACAGAGCCAAATATTATAGCTTTAACAGTTTCCCGTCTCTGTATTTCGTCTTTCTCTTCTCTCCTCCAGCCTCACCATCCATCTCTCTCCTTCTCTATTGCCATTCAAAATTTTTTTTACTCTCTCCCCTATTCCCCCTCCCATGTCATCACCCCCCTCCCTCGCGCATCTCTCCAGCGTATGCTCCCAAGTTTCTTCCTCTGCCTCGCATACTCTGCAACTTCTTTTCTCATCTGATTCCCAGTACCTCCCACCACGCATCTCGTTTCCTAGTCTGAATCTTGCTATCCTTGTTACCGATTTTCTTTTCCTCCTCTTTCCAAATACTCAGGTCTTCCTATTTCTGCTATCTCTTTGTACCATCTATTATATTTTGATTCTCTTATCTTTTCGTCTATCTCCTGTACTTGTATGTCTCTATCTCTACCTTCTATCTCTTCTATGCTACTCCACCCTTCTTCTCTTTTCCTTTCTATCTCTTCCGCTGCATATCCTCTACACTCGTAAAACTTTCTACGTTCTACTTCCCATTTTGACTTTTCTTTTCTTACGTCCTTTTTTATTTCCTTCCAGCATGCTCTTGCTATTTCGTTTCCTCCTCCGTTTTCTAGTTTTTCTTCGTATCTCATTGCTCTTTTAGCTGCTTTTGTTCTCATCTTAATTCTTTTAGCCTCTTCTCTTATCATATAACCCGGCGTGCACCAATCTACTGCTAACGTCCATCTTATAAACCTTTCTTGTATCCTCTCTATATTCTTTCTTTCTTTCCATCCCCATACTTCTGCTCCATACATCGCTACACTTGCCACCAGTGAGTCAAAGAGTTTCATTCTTCTTTTCCAGTCTCCTCCAAAAATTCTTTTTCCTATTCCCCATACTTGCCTCATTGCAACTGTGGCTTTTCTTACTCTCTCTTTTATGTGTGCTTCTTGTCCTCCGTTTCTTTGAAATATGTATCCTAAGTAGCAAAATTCTTTTACCTCCTCTATTTGTTCTCCTTTCCACTTCCATTCAACTTCTTTTGCTCTACCTCCTCCTTTCCTGAATCTCATGACTTTTGTTTTTCCAACATTCACTGTTAGTTTCCTTTTGTCGAAGTATTTTTCTAACCTCCTTATCATTTGCTTCATTTCCTCTTCTCTTTCTGCAACTGCCACTATGTCATCCGCGTATGCAAGCGTCCATATTTTTGTATCTCCTATAACTACCCCTCCCTCCTGCCCTTTTCTCATTATCTCCTCCAAGTCCGCCAGCAGCAATATAAATAGTAGCGCACTCAGAGGGCATCCCTGCCTTACGCCTTTTACTGTCCAAAAGCACGGTCCTTTTTCTCCATTACATCTAATCACGCTTTTTGTTTCTTTATACAGCTCTTTAATTCTATCTCTCAGTCTTTTGCTTATTCCATTCTTCTCCATTACCTTCCATAATATTTCTCTATCAACTGAGTCAAATGCTGCCTTCAGATCTATAAATGTTGCCACTAACTTCCCTCTTTCCTTGCTAATCGCTCTTCCTATTGCAAAGTTTAATGTGTATATATTTTCTATCGTTCCTTTTCCTTTCCTGAATCCTGTTTGCGTCTCCGGTATTATCTTCTTCTCTTCTATCTCCTTCTCTAGTCGTTTGGCTAAAATAGCTGCATATATTTTGTAGCTCGTGTTCATCAGTGTTACACCTCTGTAGTCTCCTGCTTCTTTTCCTTCCCCTTTCTTTACTATGGGAACAATTATTCCTTCATTCCAGTCTTCTATCATTTCCCCTTTTCTCCATGCCATGTCACATATCTTCCATATTGCTTCCTTTAATCTGCTTCCTCCATTTGTCCATACCTCGTTTGGCATTCCATCCGCTCCTGCTGCTTTTCTATTTTTCATCTCCTTTATTATTTCTACTACCTCCTCTCTTCTTATTCCTTCCTGATTTTCGCAACTATCTCCTGTTTCTTGTTTTTCCTTTGCCGTCTCCTGCTTCGTTCCTACGCCTCCTAGTAACTTCTTAAAATGCTCGTTCCATTGTTCTTCGCTTATTTCTTCATTCACTTCCTTTCTACGTTTCCTTTCTCTATTTATGAATCTCCATACCTCTTTTTCATTTTTTGCTTTCCTTGCTTCTTCTATAATTCTTTCTTTTTCCTTCTCTTTTTTTTCTTTTATCATTTCCCTGTATTCTTTCCTCTTCTTTATATATTCTGCTTTTTCTCCTTCCCCTTTTTTCCACTTTCTTAGCCTCTCTTTTGCTTCTCTTCTTAGTTCCACACACTGTCCGTCCCACCATTTATTTTTTCTCTTCGCTTTATTGTCTATTCTAATTTCTTTCCAGCTTACCGCCCTTGTTACTGCATTTTTTATTTCTTTCATGAGCTCCTCCGGGTTCACTCCATCTATGGTTTTTTCTTCGATTTTCTCTCTATATCTTTCTACAGCTTCTTTAGACCAGTTCATTACTCTTTTCGTTCTCTTCTCCTCCCTCTTTCTTTCCTCTATTTCCTCCGCTATTTCTAGTGCTACATATTGATGGTCTGAGTCTATCTGCTCTCCAATTCTTACCTCTTCTGTTCTTTCCCATAGCTCCTGATTTCCTATTATATAGTCTATTACTGTCTCTCCTCTCCCTCCGGTAAAGGTGAACTCTCCTTCTTTATCTCCCTTAGTTCCATTTAGTATTCCTAGCCCTTCTTCTTCCAGAAATTCTATTAGCTTTTTTCCTTCTGCATTTACTTCTTTGTCTTTTGATTTTCTTTCTTCTCCAAAGATGTCCGTAATTCCTCCTTTTTCCCCTGTTCTTGCATTAAAGTCGCCTCCTATTATTATTCGCTCTCCTATGCCTCCTTCGTTCGTATATTCTTTTATTAATCTTATTTTTTTGTCAATGTCATTATTTACGTATACACTAATAATCTTCCATTCTCCCTCTTTTGTTCTTACAATTCTTTCCACTATTCCTTCCTCTTCTCTCTCTATTCTTCCTTCTACTTCGAGCCCTTTTCTTACTCCGGTAATTATCCCTCCTCTTGCTCTTCCTCTTTTCTTTTCTCTTGTCGCTGGTTGGCATTTCCATACATATCTTTCTGGCATTATTTTTTTTACTTTGCTCCACTCTTTTTCTTCCACCCATGTTTCTAAGAATGTTATTATGTCCCACTCTTCCACTACCTTCCAAAACCCTTCATTTTTCCCTTTTAGTCCCGCTATGTTCCAGAAGCCTACTGTCATTCCTCTTTGCTCTTCTGTTATCCGCTTCTTCTTTCCTTCCGTTCTTCTCCTTTTTCCTCCTCTTCTCCTTCGTACAGTCTTCTCATTTTCTCATTTTCTTCCAGTGTCCTTTCTTTCTTGTTCTCTTTGAAATCTTCTTCCATCCTCCAGTTTTTCTTCGCTTTCATTCCATTTCTTTTCGTGGCCGTCTATCCATATTTTTTGGTATCCTAATGTTGCTCTTTTCCCTTTCTCCCTCTCCTCCTTCACTATATTCCATAATTTTCCTTGAATTTTTCTCTCCGTTACTGTCATGTCGTCATCTATGTATATCTTTTTCTCTATCCCCATCTTCTTTCTGTTTATCATTATCTCTCTCTTGTCCTCCCACCTATTCATCCTTACTAGTGTTATTTTGTTTTCTCGTCTGCCGATTATTTGTACCTCGTCCACTTCTACTTCTTTTTTGGTGATTTCTTTTAGCAGCTTTCCAATCTTCTCTCTTTTCTCACCTCCGTCTTCAATTTCCGCTCCTTTTATTATTATATTATTTCTTCTTTTTTTTCTTTCTTCTAATTCGTTTTTTCTTTCTATCTCCTTCATTTTCTTTAACAGCTCATTGTATTCCTTCTCTCCCTCTCTCCTCTTCTCCGCTTCCTCCATTCTCTCCTCCAGCTGTTTTACTCTTTTTTCTATACCGGTTTTCAGCTTCTCCCATATCGCTTCGCTTTTTCTGTATTCTTCTCTCAGATCTTGTATCTCTTTCATCAGTTCCTCCTTATCTTTCTTTCTTTCTTTTTCTTGATCCTCCAGTTTGGTCAGTATTTCCTTCAGCATTTCTCCTGTCTCCATGCCTTCCTTTTCCTCTTCCTCTTTTTTTACTTTGTTTGGTGGTGATCTACTTAATCTTCTTTCCTTATCAAACTTGTCTGTAATTTCTTTCTCGGCCTTTTTTATTTCTTCACTCTCCTGCTCTCTTCTCCTTTTCTTTATGTTGTCTACAATCGACCCTTGGCTCCCTGCTCTGCTTCTTGTTTCTGACAGTTCTGCTGTCCTCGCGTATCTATTCTCTTCGTTCTTACCTCCTTTAAACGATTCTTTATTTTCTTTCTGGTACTTTTTCTCACTATTTTTGCTCCCTTTGCTCTCCTCCCTCTTTTCCTCCATCCGCTCCTTTCTTTGTCCCTCGGTGCTCCCTGTCTTCTTATTTATTTCCTATGTGCGGGAGGCGCGACGGCTTGGGACCGCGCTGGCGTGCAATCCGTGTCGTGCACGCGCCGTGCACGTGCACGCGCACTCGGGGGTCTGACACACGAAAGCTACTTAAAGCTTATAACGTGGAACATCACCTACTGAACAAAATGCGATGTTCGGTCGTGTCTCTAAACACCCGATTTTTATTTCCTATGTCCTTTCTGCTTTCTCCGGGCCTCTCCTAACCTCCAAATTGTCGCCGCAACAGTTATTCGACAATCTTCCTTCCGCTTCTTCCGCTCTGCTTGCCTTCTTTTCCCTCTGCCCTATTGCACTTTGCGCATGCAACTGTCTGAAACAGAGTCGCCCTAAGGCGATATCACGGCAGAAAACTTCTAATGAATTTATGCAAATGACATGCGTGCTTCTCCTTATACTTACTCGGTCGGTAACCGGGAGGGAGAATGTAAATTCGCGCGAATTGTAAATTTTCTTCTCTTCATTTTTTCCTTTATTTTCCCGTACCTGAAACCGCGAGAGTGTACAATCGTAATCATGATCGGTGCTCTTGGTTTTCCTCGAACACGCGATTTCCACGCAGGCTGACAATTTTTTTTACGATCACCGCAATGAATTTAACATTCGGTGTGCGTTCGCGTGTTGCACACCTACGTTTGCTTGAATTTTTAAAGCAAATCGCTCACTACTGCACCGGTCTGCAAGGTAATCGATTTAAGGGATACGCTTTTCGTATTTTCTTTTTCCTACGTTACAAGCAACTGGAAAGGCACAGCAATTGCGTACATAATATAGACGCAGGTGCAAATATTTAATGACTGTAAGGGAAGAAGCAGAATGTGTTCTTTTGTTTCGCCTTCTCTCGAGACTTTCCAATTCATACAGACACGCGTAGTTTTACACATCGTACGATTGAGCTTTATACGATTCGATAACATCGGACTTTTCAGTAACGCGAGTTATACATATATCCTCTTTTTAAGAAAAGAACAGTGAACGAATATAAAAGGAAACAAAAAAAAGTATGGAACAAATACCTACGAGCACCATCAACCGATCTATAGAAATTCCGCTTCGCATTTTTGGTATCTGGCCGGGTTTACCGTATATTTCATTCTGTAGATTGTTTTGGACGACTACACTAGTGGCCGTTCAATCCTTTCAATATCGATATCTTGTTACGTACTTATACACCGTCGATTTTTCCGATCTGATGGACGGCTTAAGTGCAACCTTGAGTTTTAGCCAGTTTTTTTCTAAACTCATCATTTTCTGGCTCAAACAGCGGTGAGACATGTAATAATTTGAATGCTGTAAATATATTAAAAGTATTTTCACAGAAAAAGACATAATAATACTATTTTTAATTATATAATATGTGCATTTGACACAACACAATGTTATAAAAATTCTTGCACGTACGTAGCTCTAAGAAATTAATATATTTTTTTTTACTATTATTGTGGTAATTCATGAAATCGCTCGTAGAACATTTGTTAAGATATTGGCAATGATGGCAATGGACTGGAAAAAAATGAGCAGTGACGACTTTAGCACACGTGTGACAATAAGCAAAGCCATTCTGTCGCATAATTTCGCTAATTTCGTCTTTGGTACCTATTCAATAGCTATAACGTTATACTGCGCTAGCATTTTCATGAGTAACTTAGAAGCAACTGACATATCTACGCGAACACTCATTCTAAAGATGGATTTCCCGTTCAACAGCGATACGCGTTTCGTGTATGGACTGGTATTAGTCATACAATTTTTTTGTACAGTGCTTTACGGTAGCGCTGCTGTCATGCTAAACGCTCTTCTCATTGTTTTGGTGAGTGAAATAAAATTGCTTTAAAATGCTTTGATTAAAAATTTTTTAACTGTCGAGTCCGCGAACTAATGCAACGCAATGTTATTGTATAATTACTGCGATTACAAAAGCTCAAGATGAAATCGGACTTTCGAAATCTTTCAGGTATTGCATTTAGCTGGTCAACTCGAGATTCTCGGTAAATGGTTGTCAGACATCATTTCAAAGGATAACGAATACAGATTGAGCGTAAAAACGATAAGGAAAATAATTGAAAAACATCAGAATATTATTATCTTTTCAAAAAACATTGAGAATTTATATTCCGACATTGCGTTGATTCTATTCATGTCAGATACTTTGATTATTTGCTGCATCGGTTTTTTGCTCGTTAGGGTAAGAACCGTGATGAGTTCCAAAGCTGAAAGATCAATAATTCAGTGGAAAATAATTTTACCGAAAAGTTTGCGGATTATTGATTTAACTTATGTTCGACGACTTGGTATTAACTATTTTAAAATTATCATTATTGATAAGTGTTATTTTTAATATTCTAGTCAATTGGAAAGCCAGATTCTGCTACGATTTTGATGAAATCCCTTGGATTTTACGCCGCAATGAATTCTGAAGTATTTATGTTTTGTTTCGCTGGAGAATATTTAAGCGCAAAGGTTAGCGTTAACATTTATGATGTGTCCAATTATTAACAAGTAAACCGCTGATTCTCTTCTTCTATAAATTCTCGGTATATAGAGCAGAGCAATCGGAGACGCTGCATACAATTCCCAATGGTACCAGTGCAGATTTCAAGACAGCCGAATTATCTTGTTCCTGATAATGAGATCGCAAAACCAGCTAACGATTACAATTGGGAAATTCATGGATCTTTCCTTCGAACGATTTCTTAATGTAAGAATGTCCTCAAAATATTTTGTTACGTTAAAAATGTTTAAGTTTATCTTCTACTGTAATGTAACATTTAATTGCAATCCCGCGTATTTGCTATCTATAATGCAGTAATGTTTATAATAAATTAATAACATTTCACGCATGTCTTAATCTGACGCTTCCTATTTTCATATATTAATTAAATGACAAATGCATAACATTGTTCTAGATTATGAAAGCCTCAGCATCTTATGTATCAGTCATGCTAGCGATGTATTAACGACAAAAATACGAGTGCTTAAAATATAATAACTATTAATAATATAATACTCTGACTTAAAAGTGTTACATCAAATTATTATATTAAAAAGATGCACGTATTGAATAAAAATCTCATTTCACTGCAATCGTAAATTTGTCTTACATTTATTTTCTTATTGCAACGTTCAAATGCACAAATAAGTAATTCGAAATAGATCACGTTAATTGTAAGATTCTGCAAGTTTTCTTCATTTATCTGAGAAAGATTGATAAGACACAAGTAACGGAGACTCGAAGATTCGTACAACTAATTCACATACATGATACTTCATAATTTTATTTTTCTTTCTGGTGCCTTGCTTCTTACATCTCATATCATTTATTTTACTGATACTTAAAAAAAATATATAATTTTAGTATACAATCGCGAACGATCCACGATGTATCATACTCTGAATTACTAAAGCAAATAAGTTCGCGAATGCGCAGTAAGTGCTTTACATAAAAGATATTCTTCGACAGATGCTTTTCTCCGTAATAGTGGTAATTCGAAAAAAGTTAGCACTTAATGACATTTCATGCACAACTACAGAACAAATAATTTTATTATTTCCCTTCGGATCTCTCTTCTGTCCTCTAGTTCTTATTAATTTCCAAACATCTTGTCACCGGATGTACATACATCTCCGCGTATAGATCATTACATATTTAAGCAAATTATTCGCGAGTGCATTGTCAGCGGTGGAGGAAACGCAAGATGACTTTAATCGCTCTCTTATTTTTTAAATTACAAGAAGCTCTTCTTCGTGGTACTGCGCACACAGTAAGATAAAAATATTTAATAAGCAACTGTCATTGATCAATTGCCTAAGGGAAATATCTATTTCACAATGCTCCTATAACCTTGCAGTTCTCACGCAAACTTTCTACAACCTACATCAAACTAAGTGGAGAATATAAATTCAGCGAAAGAGCATATGGTCTTTATACTTTGACGAGTGTCCCTAGGTTTTGATGCTTTGGCTTGAACACAGACAATAGCAAAAAAAAATTATGACGAGTAAACGTACGATCAATCGGACGATAGAACTTATGCTGACCGTGTTCGGTGTCTGGCCAGGTATATCATGCGTACTACTCTACAGAGTGTTTTGGGTGATTACGTTAGCAATTAATCAATTCTTTCACTACCGGTACTTTGTAACACATTTTCATTTCGACAATCTTTTCGACTTGATGGACTGTATGAGTAGCTTTTTGGAGTTCGTAAAACTGATGTTTAAGCTCATTATCTTCTCGTTGAAACAGCAGTAAGAGACGCTTAATAAAATAAACTATTAAAAAAATTTGTAAAGATAAATAACATTGCGGAAATGTGATGCAATTATTTCAAAACATTCGATCGTTTGTAGAAAATTTATCGAAATCTTAACGATGACAGCGGAAGATTGGAAAGATTGCGATAACACTGGCGTCGAGTTGCGCGAAACAGCAAAGAGAGCGAAACTATCGAGTCGTATTTGTAATGGATTAATTCTTCTTTATACAATCTCCGGGCTTGCATACGTCCTTGGCTTTTTACTAGCCGATACCAACGTCACAGATTTGACAGCTGAACTGCCTCTTATTATGAAAATGAAGTATCCCTTCGTTATAGACACGCAACGCAAGTACAGACTGGTATTAGCTACGCAATCCGTTTTCGCGATGGTGTGCGCTTTGGGAGCTGGATTATTCAACGCTTTGTTTCTAACTCTGGTAACCTGCACATACATAAGCAAGTATTATAAGAAAAATATAATTATATTCATATAATTAATGTCCCAAATAATCCATATAAATGTTGCAGGGTTGTAAATTCGAAAAAAATTGAATATCTATTTTAGATTCTAATCTGCCTGCATATTATCGAATAAATTTCTTATAACATTCTTAGTCTTTATATTATATTATGGTAAAATCAGTAATTATAATCACATTGTCGTAAATGACAGAATTCTAATTTCTAGACTCTACACGTGGGCAGTCAGATAAACATCCTACTTCGCTGGTTGAGGGAAGTTGGATCTAAAGACATCGAGAAGAAGCACGACTCATTCGCCACTGTCATTACGAAAATTATTCGGAAACATCAAAATATTATCAATCTCTCAGAGAAGATTGAGAATCTTTATTCATACATCGCCTTGCTACAATTCACAGCGAATACGGTTACCATTTGCTCATTAGGATTTCTCATCGTAACTGTAAGTAAACTTATTAATATTAAAATTTCAAATATAAAAATATGTATTTCACTTTGGAGTCAATTACATAAGTCAACATTTTATGTATTGGTCTCTATTATGTATATGCTATTTTAATTAAATCATTATGTTCATTTAAGCCAATATTTCTAACTTTTGATCCATGCGTAAATGTGTTCATTTTCAATTCTGTTTTAACGTTGCAGGCAATCGGAACCCCCGACGCCACTGAAAAAATAGTAAAATGTCTTTTATTTTACTTTGATACGAATCTCGAAGCGTTTATATTTTGCTTCGCTGGAGAATATCTAAGCAATAAGGTTAGCAACGGAAGATATTGTGATAACAATACAGACGATGACATATAGATATTCTAGCGTTTGTGGTATTAAAACTAATATTTTGTAAAAACCACACCCAACACTATAGAATTCCTGCTGTTATTAATTTTATCTTCATAGAGCAAAGCGATCGGAAACGCAGCGTACAATTCCGCTTGGTATGATATGAAAGCTAAGGATAGTCGGGTTCTGTTGTTTACAATTTTAAGATCGCAGAGGCAATTACAGCTTACAGCTGGCAAAATGGCTGTTCTCTCCTTAGAATACTTTACAAGTGTAAGATACGTAATAATTACAGAAAAATATATATATATATATATTAAAAAATATATATATATATATATATATATATATATAAATTAAATCTTTTATGTGCAATGACATAATTACTTATATTTTTATCTATGACAATATTTCTGATATGTATCATAACGAATGATAATATTATTATCGTCCAAAGTTAATTTTTCTAGCGTACAAAATTTTTTGTATAGACATCATAATAATGCATATATATTTTTTGGTATTGCTAATAAAGGCAACATTGTTATAGATCATGAAGGCCTCGGGATCGTATTTATCAGTACTGCTGGCAATGAAATAAACGCTGTAATATCTATCTTGTATATAATATAAACATAATAAATATTTTTTTAAATGTATACTTTTAGATCAACCCCAGACACAGTACACAGTTTTCTGTATATACAGTTAAGAAATATATACAGAATATACTGTATATACTTCACAGAAGTATATACTGTATATACTGTATATACAGTTAAGAAGTCGCGATATCTTTTTGCTAGTGTGAGAAAAATTATGTGAAGTTATACGGCTTCTTTTCTCTCTTATCTAAAACACAGTTTCTCAATTTAAATGTATTTTCGAGCATGTAAAAAAAACCGCATTTTTGTCTGTACTCTACGCCCTGTACTCTACGCACTTGTTAATTTCTTGTAAATATTACCATCGCCCATAGATGAGCTGCGAATTGCATGCGAGAAAACTCACTTTTGTAACACTTGTGTTTTTTCGCTGATTCTCAGTGGATGAACTTCAAAACTCTTCCGAAGTACGCTGAAATACAACTGACCGTCGGACATGTACGTCGCCGCGTTCGCGTTCGCAGGAATCATTGCATATTTAAATACGCGATTACATCACCGGCGCCCGAAGGAAAAAGGCAGGACCCTACGTGTGTTTTCCCTCTTCTTGTATCGATGTTGTGAGAAACTGCGGTAAGCGTACACAAGTGAGGGCTGCACGTGACACGAAAAAAAAATATTTAATGAAATACTCCCATTGGTTGATTGTGATAGGGAGCGTCCATTTGATGAACTCGTAGGACTTCCCAGTCTTTATGCAGATATTCTTGAGTTCTCATTGGCAAATGCATTGAGTGAACGAGACAAAAAGAGAAAGATAGAAAGAGAACACGGTTCTCTCACCTTTCTGAAGGAGTGTTTGTTCTGTTGCGTATAAATCGATTAATACTTTCCTTTGCATAAAAACGAGAGTGAAGAGAAATGATGAATTATGACGCGTAAAAGTATAATTACCTAAAGAGAACAGAAAGTTAAAATGTCATTTTGACTTTTATATATGTTCTTCTTGGTAAATCACACGTTACACTTAAATGCTCACTGTGTGCGATAAATGACCATTAGGAACATCGCGTATTATAATTTGCAGAACGTAATGAATTATTACGTTCGCACAAGATAAAATTTGCCATCAATATTTTTTATGTATTTGAATTCACGACCTGTTTTTGATTTATTGGATCGTTTTAGTAGATTTCTGAAACAGGTAAAATTTTCGATTAAATTGTATACATTTTAACTGAATAAACGATATGTAACGCTTCATAATATTTAAATAATATTATGCATTATGAAGCCCGGCTGGCGGCCGAAGTAAGACAGCGTGATTAGTTTCGTTATAATTCATATATGTGTATATACATGCATGTATATATTTTTTCATATAAATACATTTTTGTATTAATAAAAAAATAAGTGATTGTGCAGAATAATATATTGTAATCCATTGTGACTTTTAATTTTGATCAGCATTACATAAACTATTTCCAAAGTTTCAGCCACTATCACCGAAATCCAATTTCCATAAGAAATGTGCAAAATCCTTTTTAATAAATTAACTATTTAAGATATAACAGTAATTTATATGTGTTAAATCTATGTAACTATCATATATATACATATATATATGTATATCGTGCACTTGCACGATTTAATCGGAAGATAAATGTAAAATAAGTATACAATTACAATACATATACATAAAATATGAACATATTAAATAAAAATTTTATCCTATAAATTCATAGATAACAAATTCGAAAAATATCATGTTAATTGTAAGATACTAAATTCTCGACCTGAAAAAGATTGATAGGACAAGTAACGAGGATTCGAAGAGTTATACGAGTATATCACGCATACCATATAATTTTATTTTTTTCCTATACTTTGTGCCATACATCTAATATTATTAGTTTACCAAGACATCAGAGCATATATGATTTTAGTATGCAATCGCGTACAATCCACCATGTATCATAAGATACTTTGAATTATTAAGATAAATAACTCGCGCATTGCACAGCGAGTGTCTCACATGAAAGATATTCTAAGACGTTAAAACATTATGACAGTTTAATGACATTTCGTGCACTGTTCATTGCGCTATTACCTAGCCATTTTCTTTAGTTTTTCCCTTC